ATTTAGAGGGGAGCTCAGCGAGCTTTTATTTATAGAGGCTTTGAACTAGTGTCACCTTGGCTAAGTATAGACAGTCAAAAAGCCCAAGGCTGAAAAGATTAAGTCTTTGCAGGTTAGTTTAAGCTGCAAAAAATTGTATCAATAAGCAAATGAACAGATATTCCCTTTTGATTCAGGAAATGCAGCCACATGCCTGCAGTGGATCAAGCCAGAAGCCGGGTGGCGCTAAAGTACAGCTTTCTGGCACTTAGCCAGCAGGGGCTGTGTGTTTTCTTCCTCTTCCTGCTGCCCCTGAGGTCTCTGGGATTTGCAGTTTACAAGCACAGTATCAGGACTCTCTGCAGGGTTGCTTATCACTTTGTCTTCCTGCTTCCAGGTTCCTCTGGGATTTGTAGTCCACAGTCGCAGCCAGCAGTAAGTAAGCATGGAAGGACAACTATATACTTGGGGGAAGAGGAGTTTAATCCCATCTCCCTGGCCCCTGACCCCAGCCAGGGTTTGCCTGGGGAGGCCAGTGAGTCAGCCCTCACTGCTCCAGCTAGGGAGCAGGAGGGTAGGGCCAGCTCTGCTCTCTGGAGCAGACAGTACAACCCAGGTCTGCAAAGCATGCTGGGATGCTGGAGGACTCTGATTTAACTTGAACCAGGAAGGGGTTTGGGACAGAAATTTCATAAACCGGTTTGACCTAAATCAGTTAAGTCTGATATACTACATTCAACCAGGTTGCATACACCTTGCTGGGGTCATTTGACCCCAGTACTCTTTCCTGCCATGGCAGGGGGTTGGACTCGATGATCTGCTCAGGTCCCTTCCGCCCCTAGAAACTATGAAACTAGGTTTATCTTAAACCAGTTTTAGCCATTTGGAAACTGGTTTATGCACACTGAACTTCTGTTCTGTTACAGGTTTAAACCAGTTTCTGATCATTTAAACCAGTTTATGTGTAACTTGTGTCCCTAGCCCTTTGCAATGCCCTCCAGAGTTACCATGCCATGGCTGACAATCTGGCCATGCACTGAATGTTAGTCTTAGAACTACAGTCAGTGGTGAGGAGTCATAAACACATCAATGTTTCTAAGGAAGTATATAGAAACAGTCTCATAATTTTACTCTTTCCCAGCATCCTTTTCCTTTAACAGTCTTCCTTTAAAGTTTCAGGGGTGCAGCAGCAAAGCAATTAAGGCATCCTGTGCTCTGGAGGCCTGAATCCACACCTCAGCTGTGACTTATATTAGAGACTGTTCCCAGATGACTCAGCTACGAGAGGCCAACCGCACAGCCCCACAGCAGACTCCCAATCTCCCTCTATTATACCATCTTAAAGAACAGGTGGTTCATTCACTCTCCCTCCTAGAGGTCCTACCCTGCCCAGTGGAAAGGACTGGGATGTCTCAGAGAAACCTCCCTATCTTTGGTTGAGAAACCTGATGGTTGATAAATGTCCTTGAAAGTTTCTCTCTGGACAGAGAGCAGACAGCTGAGACTTTGTCTTAAGTTTGCTACAATAAGTGAGTCTAGGAACACAAACCATTTCAGATGTCTCTTGTTGCTTTAGGCAGAAGGCAAGATTAGAGGTGCACCATACAGACAAAAGCTTATGCATCTCTAATGCATAACAACCTGGTAAACCCTGCTGTGCACTCTCTGAAGACAGGCAGGATCAAAGCCAGACTCTTAGCAGTACACAGAACTTTAAAAGAAGAGACAGGTTTTGCCAACAGAACTCTTCAGATGTGCCCTGCCTGGAAAACAAACCTGGTATAGCAATTCCATTGAGAGGCTGGGGGGGGGG